GGTCAATATTGGTATCGGACAATTCTCAAAGCTGCAATATCGGTATCGGACAATTCTCAAAGTTGCAGTATCAATATCGTATCAGAAGTGAAAAAGTTGTATCGGGACATCCCTAAAATAAACATCAATACCTTCCCTCATACTTGAGATAATCACATGATTTTGGTGTTATTTTGTAGGTATAATGTTCTTTTAGAATCCGCTGTCAGATTTAATATTGGTGTTGTAGGATAAAAATATATATCTACATTCCCAATATACACAATCACAATCGGTTTTCAAGATGGGCGTTGTGGGTGGTTGTTGGTGACTTGGCTCTCACAAAAACTGTGGGTTTTTTTTTTTTTTCCAAGTTTTTCCTCAAGTAATGATGAATGTTTTTCGTGGAACAAGTAATTTCAACGTTTGACAAGAAGGATTACTGAACTAAAAGACTGGATGGTTTTGGAAAGAGCTGATGGATCTTCATCAGCCTTGGCCTTCTTCCTGATGACTGATGTTTACATGCACAAATTTTTTTGATTGGAATGAAATGTATTCAGATTAAATAATCCGAATGTACTGTTTACATGGACACAATCCGATCATGACTTACATGCGCAGTGTTGTAAACGTTCAGCTCTACTTCTGTGTTACAAACATAAACAAAGCTCCTCTGTGCGCTCAGGACTGACCCGTGTCAGCTTTTAATAATGGTAGAGACAACGTTACTCGTCTCCTCAGTTGAGCTGCAGCCTGCAGATGAAGCAATATGAGCTTTTTATTTTTATTTTTTGCGAAGCAATGTCTGCCGTTTGCCTCCTTTTTAATCTGTTAAGACAGCGTGGAGGAAAAGTTCTGCGCGGTGCAGCGCAGCTGCAGCTCTGCTGTCCCACCTCCTCTAACAGGGTGAATGAAAGTCAGCAGACATGCACACAGGTCAGTTTTCTACAATCAGAATAAGATGATCAGATTAAGTGTTTACATGAACGTCATTCCGATTATCAATCGGCATAACCCACCCTTTTCATTCGGGTTAAAAATTCATTCGGATCGAGCTCAATCGGATCAGAATAATCATAACGGGCTGTTTTACATGACGCATTTTTTATTCCGAACGGCCGTTTAATCCGATTACTTTTGTCCAGGTAAACGTAGCTAGTGACTTTGCCTGAGTGGATCACCTGTTCAGGCCTTTGGCTTCTATTCAATCAACAATAATCCACAAAAAAACAGTGAGCTGATGTGTCCTTTTGGCAAAGTAAAATAAACATTTTGAAAATTCGACGCTACACTTAGAAGTCAAAAAGAGGATTAAATCTGGTGAAAATTCGATGAAAAACTGAGAATATAACGCCCCCAAGATGAGATCAGATGAGGAGTTTGTATCTGACTCAAGTGAAAGAATTATAGGAGGGTTTCACGTGACGTCACCATGCAGTGCCAGAGAGCATGAAGTTCGGCTGGAGGTCGGAAGTGAAAAAGTGGAGGATCTGTTATCTGTAAACA